TTACAATTATCATTTATTATTTATTATATTATTTATGGCATCAAGCATGTACAGTATGAGCCAATCAGTGTCAGTAATGACAGAGTATGCGCTGTTACGCAAAAACCGCGATAGAGTGAAGCCGCGGAAGTTGAAGCGCGAAGTGGCGAGGGTTAACTGTATTCCTGTTGTGGGGACTCAGGTACTTGAGATAATCTCTTGAAGAGTGAGTCATTGTTCTGTAACATCTATGTTCAATACCTTACACCTGATTAACCACCTCATGTTGTAGTTTGTGCATTTAGTTTGCAATTTATCCCAGGGTAGCAAGAGTGTTTTCTGAACACCATCTGCCTGGACTTAGCCCAAACCCCTGATCCTGAATACACAATGACACTGGAGTCTTTAAATGAATCAATCTCTCTCTCTCTCTCTCTCTCTCTCTCTCTCTCTCTCTCATGTACAACACACACACACACACACACACACACACACACCTATACCTTTTTTTATCCCTGCTGTCTATCTATCAATCAAATCTAATTAATTGATCTCCCAATACTGAACTATCAATTTAGCTATCATCTATTTTCTCTATATATCCTATCTCTTGAATCTCTCTGCCATTTATTTGAATTTCTATTACCTATCTATTTTTCTGTTTCTATTTCCATCTATTTCATGCTTAACTTTATTTTTGAAATAAAGACCACCTTAGCAGGAGCAAATGTGTTTTGTTCTTGGTGGAGTATACTATATATTTGTCATTCATTCTAGTTTGTTAGACCCATTTATTTGTTTGTTTACTTATTTAATTCTTGATGTCCTTATGGATCTTCTATTTCAATGTTAAGTCCATACTTGAAAATGTTGAATTGGCATACTCCACTATTTGGTTGCATTATGCTGCTACTTATTTATTGCATTTAAAATATTAGCCAGGACTTATCTGATATATTTTGAAGAAATAATGTTATATTCTCACCACCTGTCTATTAGTTCATCATACTGTGGTGGCTTGTGTTTTGCTGACTTGCTGGAAGATATGTCACTGTTACATCAAATGCCAGCAAATCTGCCAAAGTGAGCAGATTTCAGCAAAGCTTCCAGAGTAAGAACAGACAATGCAGAAGGACCCCACTCTCCTCCTCAGAGAAAGAAGCTGCTGAAACCTCATGCATACCTTTGAAGAGTTGTTGAATGCCGAAAGTCTAAGCAAAGGCAGTAGGAAATTGTTGAATCTACTGCCCTCAGGTCCGAGGGCACTCAAAATGTGACTGAAGAGAAGCTGATTTCTTGGAGGGGAGTCGCCAATGGGACGTGATTTGGGTAAAGCCTCTGGGAGTGGAGACGTCAGGGTCTTCATTTGCTGATGGGCCATGACTTAAGGTAAAGAGAAACAGCTGCAAAAGTCTTCTAAGGACCAGAACTTGGAATTTGCATACCATAAATTTCGGAAAATTGGAAGTAGTCAAAATGAAATGGGATGCATGTAGATTGGTATCCTAGGCATTAGTGAGCTTAAATGGACTGGTTGGTATTGGCCAATTTGAATCAGAAAATCATAGGATTTACTATGCCGGGAGCAGCACAGTCCAGAGAATGGCATGGCATTCATTGTCAGAAAGGATCTTGCTAAACCCATCATGAAATAACAGTACTGCCTGTGATAAGATTATATCTGCCTTCAAGGAAATCCAAACAATACAGCTACTACCAACATGACTTGAACAATGCATTTGCTGCCAACTTTAACATACAAATAAGTATGGTAGAACACTAATGAAAATGATATTTTTATTTGCTTCTTCCTCCCCACTTTCTGCTCTTGAGATTTTAACTCCATTACTACACATCCTACATGCAATAGGTCTGATTTTACATATTTCTTGCACATTAATATTCTATTCCTATGTCATCAAAATAGAGAAAGTCCTGGGGGTGGGGGGGAGTGAGATGGAGAAGCATCCCCACACCACAAGAGGAAGCCAGCTGTGAAACTGCCCCCCTGCACCTGCTCCTGGGGTGTGTTCTGTGATATTTTGGTCCTGCGTGCCCCCTGCAGTCCAGCACTCTCCCAGCATGGAGTTTTGTGTCTGGGATCACACTGATTTCCTCTCACTTACTCACAGAGTAGCAGAGGGCCTTGTCTTCCGTTTTCTAACCATCCATTTGCAGGTAAACTGTGTTCTTTCCACTGTCTCTGGAGGTGGTGAATCGATCCTTCATAGAGTCTGCATAGTTCTTAGTACCGTAATGGAAGTATTTAAAGAGAGGGATGAACAAAGGCAACATACCAGGGTATTTTTGTCCTACTCTCTTGAGGGGTGATTTAATTTCATAAGAAAGAAATGCTAATTTCAGGGAGTAATTTTTGTTGCTTCTGACTTCTAAGTGCATAACTAGTAAATAAATAAAGGATTCAGTGAGCACAGCTGCCATCCCCCAGGGTTTCTGACGCTCTCAGGATGTGGGTTTCACAGCGTGTGTCTCCCACAGGAATAGGTGGAAGTGTCCTCAGACTTCAGGCTGCTAATCTGCAGATACTCTGTGCTGACTGAAGTGTCCAAGGAGCAGACATAGATAGTCCTGTGTGAAGCCCTGGACATACGTTGACTTCCCTGAGTAGATGTTGATCCAGCCCATCCACTGAGGGCCTTTTCTGGGTGATTTTCACACCCAATTTATACCGTAGCTGGTGAAGGTGTTTCCAGAAGTCCTCCAGGACA